TCAACTCAAACCACCAACTTTTGACGGCGGAACATCTTAGTCTATGTATAAACGACAGTTTAAGACCCCTGTAAGTGCAAATTATATTAGGATGAACAGCACACCATTGGTACTGGCATCTAGCAAGTGAGGTACGGAAACAGGTATCTTAGTAAATATATCAGAGCCAGCTCAAGGACAGGACCATCAGAGATTCTGTAGAAATTTAGCTGTGACATCATGTTCCAGTTGCCATATCCAGACTTCATTGATGAAGTAAGAGACATAGACCTGCAGCAAATGCTAAGTAGGTAACAGCCTGGCCGAAATTGCTGTCGATGCACTGAACTCTGGTGTATATATAGCTTCCAACAGTGCCTCTTTGAATAAAATAAGCAAAATTGGGGAAAAAAGGATATGAGAGGAACGCCCGAACACAGAGGCAGATATTTTTCCAAAAACTAGTGACGATTTTCCAGAAATTCCTGTGCGAATGAGGAAGACCATGATGCACGAATCAAAAAACTAATAAAGTGTTTCGAATGTGGCCGAGTAGAATATAAAGAAAGAATGTGCCTTGTGAGTCTAACGGGGCGAATACTGGCGACAACTGATTTGCCACCCACCATTGCGAAATATGATTTGGCCATCGACGACGACGCTGGAGCATAAAGAGGTACTTTCCGACAAAGTTTTCAAGGATTCTGTGATGATGTGCTACTAGAAGCAGCTGATGGAGATTAAATGAAGGTATTTGGAGAGACCACCGTGACATTGGGAATAGACAGCACCCAACTGAAGGTCGAAGTGATAGCTATTGACATAGTAGATAAGTCTTTATTGGTTATGATCACCTACAAAAGCTCCCGATTTTTGTGAAGTTCAAAAATATAATGCCGAGAGTGAATAACGGAAAGATATTTTTTTCTTTACCTTCAAACAAGGACTGTCATGGTCGCCGAAGTTTCTCGAATTTTTGGACAATTGTGAAGACGCTTCTAGAAAACGAGTAAGAAGGCATGAAAGTGGAACTAAATGACAAACTGTGTGACACTGAAGAGACGGAAGGCATTTTAAGTCCGAAGTATGGAATCAATTGATGAAGTTACTGAGCAAGGAAAACGATCACGACTTCATCCAGAGTCCGACGAAATGGTCGAGAGGCACAATGCACAATGAAATCAATAATATCGAAGTATTGGAATGAATACCAGCGAGACTGGGACAAACTGGAGCCTGTTTTCCATCTGCTTTGACTAGAGAGAAATAAAGCTTTCCGTAAATCCATTGATTGACAGACCACCTTCGATGAAGACGACGCTGTTCTTCCAGTCTACAACACAGACTCAAATTTGGCCAGAAATAGACATTGTCTGAACAGTGACAGAATTCAGATGAGACTGGCCAAATAGCAGTCATTGGAATACGCACTCGACGCTTTCCATTCTCGCGTTATTTGTTCCTTACAAACGAGCTTACAAAACTCATTAGGTTATATGCTATTAGCATGTGAGCTCGAACTAGCACAGTATTTAGAGTATTTTCCGAAAAAAAAATATTGCTATGCAGTTATAAAATGATGATGGGTCTGCTTAAAACCTCAAACGTACAATTACCGTGAAAAAATTGTCTATTGGAATTTTAACGGTAATCTACGAAATTATCTGCAGCATTCGAGTCATTTCGAATTATCCTCGCCACGATAACACTGTTAAATCAAGGAAATCCCACGACCATAATCAAAAAAAAATCACCAACCGATTTAAACCAATTTAAATGGTTTTCGGTCGACCAGAAAATGAGAACAAATTTTACACATATTAAAACAAACTTGATGAATAAAAGTTTTCTGATTGGCTATAATGTTGATAACAGTGTGTTTATGTCTATTTCCTAGGTGAATTTGCAGTTGTTTGAGTAATCATCGGTACATTTATTCAAGGTCTAAAATGGAAAATTCCAATTAGTTTTGGACAGCAGTATTGGAAACAGATTAAAGAGTAAAATTCGGCAGATATTCTAAGTTCTTTTTGTAAAAAGTAAATGATCATAATATACTCCTGGACAAAATTATCGCACCACCACTGCACATAAGCACCATAAGCGGTGGTGCGATAATTTTGTCCAGGAGTATATAATATATTTTGATCAAAATAAACGGAACATAACAACGCAACAACATCAATCCATGAAGATAGGGTGGCGAGCAGGAAACATGAAAAAACGCTATAATTAGGAATGCGTTACTTGAAAATATTTGAGGTTAAGAGATTCGCTATTTTGAATTATGATGCAGAAGCCCAGCCTAAGAAGTATGGTTTATTTCGCAGCATTCCTTTGTTGTATCAATATGTTGAGTTAATATAACCATAAGTTGTTTATATTAAAAGATGAAAATTCAATAATGAAAATATTTTCCATGGAAAGTAAAGAACTGTATAAAAATATCAACCCCTTGGCAAAAAATCATCCCCCCAAAAAACCATTCCCGCAGTCATTGAAGCTGTCAGTTTTTTTTTTCTTCTATATCTGCAAAGTGCGTGAAATTACAAATATGAGGGTGTATGAAAAGTAGTTTTTATTTTGCCTCAACAAGGTGGCACAAAATTATTTTTTTATGAAAAGAGTTTCATGTGTCACATTCGTTGTTCTGTGGAAATTCAAGCAGAATGGACTTTTGATATTATGAAATACAATGTTTTCCCAAGTTGGGAAAAATCACTTTGAACTCACGTTATTTCCACGAATAATAGTAATGTTATTATTTGAAAATGGGATAATTTTGTTCAGTATTGGATTTTATTTTCACGTTTAAACCAGAAACAGTTATGATCTGTCCGCTAATGATGATAATTGTGGAGCTTCAGTATTTATACTGAAATATTACAAAGGATCTCCACTCTGACACAAACCCGCTGGATAGTTTACAGGAATTATATGTCTGAGAGACTTTTGTGATGGAACCGATTAACCTAATCGAATTGAAACACACTTTTGCTGAAATTACAAACAAGAATAGCACAGGTATTGACAATACCTCTGTTAGAATTTTTCAGAGCCTCAGTGATGATGTTCTCAGTTTTTTGGTGAGGGCGATAAATTTGCACTTTGTGCTCGGCGTATTTCCTGATTGTTTGAAGACTGCTGTTGTTGTACCGTTTCATAAGTCAGGTGCATTTGATGATCCGGCTAGCTTTCGTCCAATATCCTTTCTTCCAACTCTTTCGGGAATTATCGAAAAGATAGTCAAAAAACAGATGCTGCTTTTTGTTGAGACGCATAACATCATCAGTGCCTCTCAGTTCGGCTTTCGAGAATCATTGAGTAGGTACGAATGATGCGATATTTTCTCTCCTGGAGAGTTTGTACTTTGACTTGAATGATAAGGAATATGCAGCAGCGGTCATTTGCGATTTTTCAAAGGCGTTTGACTGTGTGAATCAAAACATCCTTCTAGAAAAACTTAAAATTTATGGTTTCAGAGATAAAATTTCTAGTTTTCTTAATTCATATGTAGTGGTAAGAAGCCAAGTGGTTAGAAATGGTCAGACAACATCAGATTTAAAAACACTATCATGTGGGGTACCGCAGGGCTCCGTGCTTGGACCTCTTTTATTCTTGTTGTACATCAACGACCTAGCAAACGTAAGCATAGATGGCTCACTTTTGAATTTTGTAGATGACTCTACAGTGAAATGGCATAGCAAGGACCATGCACTTCTCAAAAACGTAGTTGGGACATACTTAGAGTTAAGAACTGGTGTGATGCCAATGACTTTTGCCTTAATATTGATAAAACACAAATTTTGAGCTTTAAATTTGATATCGATGATATTGAATTGGAGGACGGGATAATTAGGAATGTACAAAGTACAAAGTTTCTTGACGTGGACGACCGATTAAAGTTTGATGTACATGTTGTTGCATTGAATAAGAGACTGGCGTCTGGCTGTTATGCTGTGCGAAGAACTTTTTCAAAGTTGGGTTGCAGTATTGCTAAATCTACCTACTATGCACTTATCGAGTCACACTTGAGATACGACATTTCGTTTTGGGGCTACTGCAGTAGAGGTCTACTTAATTCGGTTTTTACAATACAGAAAAGAGCTATAAGATTTATGTGCGGCAAAGGTATGAGAGACCACTGTAGACCGCTCTTTTTGAGAGAGCAGATTTTGACGGTCGTTTGTTTATTTATATTGGAGACGGTTTGTTTGATATTTAAAAAATATGGGAATCACACTCATGCTCATTCTTACAGTACTCGAAATCGCAACGATGTTCCACTCCCAATTCCTAGATTTGCTTTGACCAGACACTCAGTAATTTTCGAGAGTATTAAAATTTACAATAAACTTCCAAATTATTGTAGGTCTTCTGAAAACTATAGAGGGTTTCGTAGGTCAGTTAAGAATTTATTAAAAGAGAAGGCTTACTATGATTTGGCTGAGTACTATGATGACACTTTCTAGCATACTAAGAACTTAATGAGCCACTTTAATTTATGACTTAGGGCTGATTTTTGCCGTTTGCTTTTATTAAACCCCCAGTAACTTTTTGTTTAATGAATGTAACTGTCTGTATTATTTTTTTTTTTTTGATACTTGTTTGTTTTTGGATATTTACAAATTGATTTTAATGGAAATTAGGTAATTATGTATATGTCAAATGTTGTAATATTTGTTGAGTTTATTAGTTTCTAAGCCTGTACGAAAATTGTTGACCTTAATTGGGCAATTTTTTTTTATTAATGTTATTATTGTTGTTTTTTTTTTTTGTACTGCTAAATTTATTCTGCTCTGTCTATAAAAAAATTGTATTTTTTCGACAATAAAGCATATTAAATCTTGAATCTTGAATCTATTCAACTTTCAGGTCTTAAAAGTTAAAATAGTCTTATAATAAAAAAAATCTGCTTAACAAACTTAACATTCAATGGATGGAATGCTGTTATTCTTATAACTAGAAGCATCGGATGAAAAAAGATTATTAATGATAAAAAGTAAAAGAAAAGGTCATACCTCAGCTTGTTCAAGATAGAGCAGCAATTCGCGGTAGTTGTCTGCACAGTTCATTTTTTTTTTTTCACCAGTGGCGACTTTTGCTTGCAGCCATACTGCCTAGTGGTACACCTGCAACAAACAACAAGACATTATAAATACAATACACAACTTTCCACGTTCATTGATATGCCATCCCCGTGCTTACATAGTGGCCGCAGAATAATGAAACCACCTTACCCAAAGTGCAATGCCGGTTCGGGTCAATACACTTAATCTTTATTAATTTTTCATTTTTTAAATTATTTCATAAAAATTCTGAAGGGTCCCTCTATAATAATATGTTTTTTATTTCTTTTGTTTTCGAAAAAATCTGTGATTTATTTCAATTTTAGTCTTCCGTTCTTTTACATTTATATAGGTACAGAGTTTTATAAATATATGGAATAAATTTCATCAACGCGAATGCAGTTTACACTAGTAGTCTTTTCTATTTATTTTTGTTATAGGTAGGTAGGTAGATTATGACCAACCACTCCACTAGACAAAAAAATTTGAAATCTCATCATATAATGTACTATACAATGTGACCCAACTGAAAATATCCACCTCAAATAACTTCCTCTTGTACAACCGAGCTTTTGTATAAGGGGAATTTCCAATTTCGTAACGACCCTCAGAGAATCCTGTTCCAATTCAAATAAAGTGATACATCATTTTAGGCGTTTTTTTGAATTGCAACTGCTAAGTGTCATATCTGTTCATACGACAGCTTCTCAAAATCATGAAGACAGTGTTTGATTCTAGTTGATAGTTAATCAATTAGAGCAGTTGGGTATGATGAGGGTCAGAGGACATTTGAAATAAACTAAATCATTATCCCTTTTTGGAATTGAAGTTTTAAAATGGAAGTGGAGTTTCAGTGAAACCTTATAGTTTGGTAACAGATTTCTGGAAAAGTTTTTATAGTGTTAGATTTATTCAATCTCTTATCAAAGACTCCTGAAAAACTTTTGAGATGTTTGTGATAAAGTGTGTAACATTATAAGCACTATATCCATTGGGGTTCTTGGCTCAGTTTATGTAAAATACCATATCACCCAAACTCCACTACCATAATATTGGGGATAAAGATAAGATAACCCCTGTCAATAGGGTGAGGTAATAATAATGAGTACCCTCTACGTTTGAAGTCGCTGACTCTTGTTACTGATTAATTATCAGCTAAAACACTTTCTCTAGGATTTTAAAAAAAGTGTACCTATCCACTTCTTTTGAGATTTTGACATGCTGTTATATTAACAGAGACGTCAGTAGAACTTGGCAGTTATAACCAAGACCTTCAAAATCCATTCAATATTTTCGGATTTACTCATTTCTCCAATTCCCCGCAGAGGGCAAAGTTACGAAGTTGTACACATGCGCAAAAGATTTCCACCCCAAAATAAAAATGTTGGTGGATCCGAACGTTTTGTTTCATGGTTCAGTTTCGAGGGATACCTACCTTAAATTAGGACACCTTATATGAATATATTATGATGTTAATTAGGGCCAAAAATTTTTTGCAACATTTATATTCCAATTCAGACGCAAATCTCAGTAGATGTTATATTATATTAAACTTATATGTACTTAGGTGAGAATGACGTTATCTGTTTCTCACGTTAACTATGAATATTCTGCGTATTGTTATTTAAATTTTTGACTAACGACATAAACACACATTCGCATTATTATTATGTAACCTATAATTTAGTACCTAATGCAATAGATGGTGCTAGCCGTGTCAATATTTGCCGAAGAAACTGCCGCGTACCAGGTATTAAATCAATCAAAACAAAGTATTTTTCATATAGTGAAACACCACCGATTACGACACTTTGTTCAAAGTGAGCGTACAACTATTCAGATTTAAGCAATTATTCGTTTCTCGTAGCTATTATGGGCATTTTCTATACAGTTGGGCAGTTTTTTAGTACTGCATACTATTATTGTTCAATAAGTCGCGAAGTTGGGGAAAAAATTGAACAATTAAAGCTTAGTACGGAAAAACCGGAAAAAAAAACAAAAATGGGCCCACGCTTTTTTATATTGTTGGTAATATACAGTGTTTGAAGGAAAGACCCAACTATTTAAGAAACTCTTTCATGCATTGTATTATTTGGAAGTCGATTCTCGACATTAGGTTTTGTATGACTATAAGGGCGAGTTTTATAAAACCATTTTGACAAATAACTAAAAGTTAACTTGTGGAATTTTCCAGAAGCTTACTTTTAGTTATTTGTCAAAATGGTATAAATACCACATATAATACCCGCCCTTAGAAAACTTCGCATGAGGAAACCCTAGACCAGAAAAAAATACTCCATCAACTGTCGAGAATGAACTCTCCTGTGTTAAGTTTTTGTCAACAAAATTTTGCCAGGCCAGCACCATTAACTGTCTTGGGATAATCATCATCCACTTGTTTTGCACTGACGCTACAGACACCTACTTTAGATGGCGTCCCGTTCGCATTACTGCAAAGCTTTTAAAATTTGTTTATTATGGATCTGTTCCTCTGCGACATTAACGTTTGCCTAAATTCATTGGTGTTTTGTCAATTACATCAAAAGACAGTTTTTTTATCGATGGTTAAGGGTATCCTTAACATATTTATTCAAAGCTCTGACAGATGTTTTATTGAACCTGTCGTTCATCTAAGCAACAAAGATTGAAATGGATCTTCCAATCTATAAAGTTTGAAGGTCCTCGTGAAACACACAAAACAACTTTGAAATCACTTAAAAACACTTATAACAAGACAACACAAAGAAAGACGCAATGCGAGACCAGTGAACGAAAAAGCTAAACAGTAAATTATAATAATAATAATAATAAATATATTACGTAATTGGAATAATACAATTAATAAAGAAAAGAATCTTAATCTAGATACTCGATATGTAGATATATTTGAGGTTAGGTGTCTAAAGATCTTCAGATCTTGTGCGCACCCAAGTATAATCACACATCGTGCAGCAAAACGAAAATAGAAAAAAGGAATCCAATAAAAACTAGCGAACATAATAATATGGAAGCAATCCTATATTTCATATATAATTAGTGTATAAATCTATATTCAACCTAGTAACTAATAACTAATAGACAAGACAGTAAATAAATGTATGAAATTTTCTGAAACATTTTAGGCCAGTTTAGTTTGTCTCTCTTGTGCCTGTATTTGTTTACCTAAGAGTTAAGGTCGAGAATGTGAGAAGAAGAACATAGCTAAATAGTAGGTAAGGTCCGTCGATTTTAATCTGATACTCGGAAGGAATGTGAGCTGGTGGCACCCTACATTAGAACACCAATGGTCACCTGACGTCACACCTGTTTTTGCCATATACTTCACCCCCTCGCGCCTCATACGGAAAGTGTCAGATGAAAATCGACGAATAATATACTGTAGTAGGTATATGAACATTTATTCAGTATTTGGTACGAGAAGTGCATTTAAATAGACCAGCATAGCCAGAAGAATGAATTATTAGTTATGATCAAATGATGAATATTTTGTCATATTGTCATGTGTTGACATGTCAATGTTATCAACATCGGACGTGTCCTTGAGGTGCTGGTACTTTACAATTCTGTTGATGTCAGCGATATCGAGAGGAATGGAAGAAAGTATTATTACGGGCAATTAGAGATCTCAGGGCATGCCCTATCTATTCTATCTATTCAGCCTTCTTCAGTCCATCTTTGGACGTAGGCCTCCCCCAGTCTTCTCCATTCCTCTCTATCTGTTGCCATGTTCATCCACCTGGTTCCAGCGTGCTTCTTCAGGTCATCAGCATACCTCATCTGGGGTCTTCCTCTACTTCTTTTATTTTCTCAAGGTCTCCAGCTTAAGATACATTTATTCCATCGGTCGTCTTTTTGTCTGATATTGTGACCTGCGAATTTCCATTTTAGTTTTGCTACCTCCTTTCTCTCTTACTCTCGTTTTATTTCTTATCCACTCGTTCCTCTTTTTATCTATCAGTTTCACATGTAACATTTGTCTTTCCATTGATCTTTGTGCTTTTGTTATGGGCATGCCCTAGTGGAAGCAATTGAAGATCGGAATATGTAAGGACGTAAGCCAATATCTTTACCTAATGGAGTATTCTGAGTCCAAACTATCAACAAAACTAGACAATACAATAACAATACCATCATCAGAAGCATAGTCACATAGCTCAGAGATCTGGCCACTAAAGGACAAAATCAACCACAAAAGTTTAATTAGAGCTTCTAGACACCTTAAAAAAATGCTTAAAAGATTACGGAAAAGGAAGATTTAGCTGGAACTCACAAGAAATTGGATATAAGGCATTCTGGATATTATCTTTTTTTTTGGATTATAGGTACGGTAAACTTTGACTACCGAGACTACTAACATCAAGAAATAAAAAAAGAGTGTTAGATTTTTAGCTATGTATTAGCAAAACTTTCACTATTTTATAGGGGAAAGCAAAATACTAATAATTATAAATATAAGTCTTGCTCATTAGATAAGTATAGTCACCCAACTAATTGAGTGCACCTAATAGTACCCACAGTTCATTAATGAAACACGACGTACTATTTACCAAATTATCCATTTGATTGCTCAATTCCTAGCGTCTTCACGCGTATCGAGTATCGTAAACCAACCGTGTGTGTATTTGTATTAGTCCAAAATTACACAATAATAATTCTCTTTGCAATTAAGTCAAGCTTTGCATAAGCACTATGTTTGCGGTATATACAACTCATATCGCAGTAGCTAACGTCGTCGGTCTTCGACCAATAAAATAACAAGGCAATAAACAAAAACATGAACTATGTAGAACAAGATGTAAAATAATTGGTAAATGCGACCCTGAAATGCGAGTAAGTGAAATTAATCAATTGCGTAACTTTTGACATGCTTGGTGTCAGTAAAGTCAAGGCCAGTGTTTGTTTTAATGGGTGTGGGTATATTCAACTACCAAAACTAAAGAATAAATTTGTTATGGTAATGATAATAATTGACTGAGAAAAATATATGTTTGCTTGTCTTGAAAAATTGCGCGATAAAACTATCAAGATATTTAAATTATCTTTTTTGAAAATACAGGGCCTAT